ACTAGCCTTGTCTATACGTAAACCGTCTTACCTGATGCCTTGTTGTAGTAAAACCTCTTACCTGATGCCTTGTCATAGTAAAACCACTTACCTGATGCCTTGTCATAGTAAAACCGCTTACCTGATGCCTTGTCATAGTAAAACCATAGCTTTCAAACAGATATAATTTAGCATAACCAACATTTTTTGGAATGAAAAATACTTCTAAAAAACTATAAACAAAGTTACTTATTCCTTAGTCTTCTACACTTCAAATTATATTTCTTATTCATCCATACAGAAGCTGCCAAACAAACTGAATATTACTGCTCAAATCACTTTAGTTAATCTACATTATAAAGACATTAAGAACAACAATACCTGATTATTATAGTGCCTAGGTTAATAAACCTATAATTTGGGATGTTTGTTTTGTGCTTAAGCACAAAGCTACACAATGGGCTATCTGTAATGTGCCCACCATAGGTATCAAAATCAAATTTTTAGCATGACAAGCCCTCATACTTATTAATGAACCTTTAATGAAAAAATTATAAAAGAAATCAATAAATGCAAAAATCCTTAGATGTTGGAACATTTTGTCATTTTAATTAAAAAATATAGCAACTTTTACAATAGCAAAGTTATAAATTTAATAATTACAGCACATCCTATAGAGTCATCATCAGATAAGATACATTCAAAAAGGCAGACGAATTTATGAAAGAACATTATATCGGTTCATGATGTCAAGGACAAGGTTTGTAGGTGACATTTTCATGGAATTTCAATATCTTTGACAATATCAATCTTATAATTTTCAGCTAAATATTAAAGCTTTGCAAATCAATTAATTATCAGACCTATTAATCACTTACATTCAACTAATTGATTATTCTCATGAGACTTGAAAAGTAATATTCAGGAACACCAACTTAAATTATTTCTATGACATTAACCAATTTAACCTTCATTTCAATTATATCCATTGATGCTCTGAATACTTATCAATGTAATTCATGTAATAAATTATATCCATTAATGCTCTGAACACTTATCAACGTAATTCATGTAATCAATTATATCCATTAATCTACCTAACACTTATCAACGTAATTCATGTAATCAATTATATCCATTAATCTACCTAACACTTATCAATGTAATTCATGTAATCAATTATATCCATTAATTTATGTAACACTTATCAATTTAATTCCTGTAATCAATTAATGCTCTGAACACTTATCAATGTAATTCATGTAATCAATTATATCCATTAATTTATGTAACACTTATCAATTTAATTCATGTAATCAATTATATCCATTAATCTATGTAACACTTATCAATTTAATTCATGTAATCAATTATATCAATTAATGCTCTGAACACTTATCAATGTAATTCATGTAATCAATTATATCCATTAATCTATGTAACACTTATCAATTTAATTCATGTAATCAATTATATCAATTAATCTATGTAACACTTATCAATTTAATTCATGTAATCAATTATATCAATTAATGCTCTGAACACTTATCAATGTAATTCATGTAATCAATTATATCCATTAATTAAGCTAATTGCCCAGTTCAACAAAATATCAATACTTCCAAAACACTAAAAAATTTTCATGTTTTCCAAATTTTAAAGATTGTCAATATATTAACATTATTTTAATCCTAGTGTTATTACTTCCACATTATGCTAACATATTAAACCTTCATGTTCACTGATAGAGCATATTCCATGTGTACAAAGATTCAATTTTTTGTTGCTTACTTTCATCTCTGGCTGTCCATAATCATTCAAAACCTTTTCATAAAAAGAATATGGAACCATTTTGTACACTCGACCTTCAGACACTCGTCCAGCTCGACCTACAAACAAAACAGTTATCATAAAAGTTTTAAATTATACATTATTTGATATCACAGGACTTCTAACTTAATACAAGTTAATATGTAATTAAGGTACAGGATTTATCTTGCTAGCGATTTCTTCAAGTTGGTGATTAACATCTTTAGAATGCTGGAAGAATGAAAGCATTAGACAGAAAATACTTTGATAAAGTATTCAATTCTTTATTTTAAATTTAATCATTTTTATTTTCTAGTTTCCAAAGCTTTAATGTTGTTGTTGCTATTCTAATTAATTACTGAATTACTGACCTGATCGTTGTTGGCAGTTGGCTTTGGATGCCCAATCTAACATAAGACATGAATAGTTGGTATCTCTATCACAATATAACGTCTTTGTGAGGCAGAAATCTATCACTATGAGTAAATAAACAATACAAAAAGTATATCAGTATCTTATTCAAGGAACAGCTAAAAAATACAGTTTTATCTACACAGAAATTAGTACCAAGTGTAATGTATCCAGCATTTCTCAACCTCGTGTATGAACCGGTGCTGGCCCATCACAACCACCTTCCCGGTATATGGGACTTCACTAAAACTGTCAGAATATTCATATATAAATTATAAAGGTTTGTGTTTTATCCCAACGCTTTAACATGAGTCAATAAAACCTATCTCACTCAAATAAAAGTTTCAAGTATTCAACATAACACATGTAACATATAAAGAAGAATTTGAATACATTCTTCTTACAGGAAACCTATATGAAGCAAGTTGCTAAATTAGATATCATTAAATTTGCTCCTCTAACAAAACAGAACATAACACTACAGGTGCAACTAATTACTTATCTATCATTTCATAGGACACCAAATGTACACTTAAACTGCAACAAATTTTAAAATCAATCGTAAAAAGGTTTCTAAACATTTACAGAATAAACAAAGTATAATATTATAAAATATAAAGATACAGTATGATATACACTATAATACCACTAAAATATTATACAATATACTATGATATACACAATAATACTGCTAAAATATTATACAATATAGTATGATATACACTATAATACCGCTAAAATATTATACAATATAGTATGATATACACTATAATACTGCTACTAAAATATTATACAATATAGTATGATGTACACTATAATACTGCTACTAAAATATTATACAATATAGTATGATATACACTATAATACCTCTAAAATATTATACAATATAGTATGATATACACTATAATACCTCTAAAACATTATACAATATAGTGTGATATACACTATAATGCTGCTAAAATATTATACAATATAGTATGATATACACTATAATACCACTAAAATATTATACAATATAGTATGATATACACTATAATACCACTAAAATATTATACAATATAGTATAACATTATAAAACAAACACATTCTAACTTTTGGTTTGTCAGGAAGAAATTAAAAACTTCTTTGTACTTCTATATAATGTTAAATGACATTCAAAACAATGAAATAGGGCTATACAGTTTCTACTACATGACATTCAAAACAAACAAATAGGGCTATTCATAGTTTCTACTACATGACTTTCAAAACAAACAAATAGGGCTATACATACAGTTTCTACTACATGACATTTAAAACAAACAAATAAGAATATACATAGTTTCTACTAAATGACATTCAAAACAAAAAAATAAGGCTATACATACAGTTTCTACTACATGACATTCAAAACAAACAAATAAGGATATACATAGTTTCTACTACATGACGTTCAAAACAAAAAATAAGGCTATACATCCAATTTCTACTACATGACATTGAAAATGGCCAAATGGGACTATACATACAGTTTCCACTACACAACATTCAAAACAACTATAGGGGATGAATTTTAGTTGAATGGATGGGAACTGGTTGTTGTAGAAACACAAGTATAGAGGACGATGTTTTGAAAGTTTTCTAGCTTTAGGTCAGTGTGTGTATGATGTTTTTGGTATGGTGGATTGTGAACAGTGTGTTATGATTGTTTGGTTTATCCCTGTTTCTGATTGGAGGAGAGACTTCCTGTAGATTTAATCAATGGTAGCCACATCTGGAATCTCTGTTTAGTGAAGGTTTTATTGAACTACCATAATGTAAAAAGCTTCTTTAATTTTTCTTATCTTCTTGAATTGTATTTTTACAACATGTGGTTACCATCCATTGAACTAAATTTCATTATGAATATACTGCCTAAACAATCTATAATACCACTAAAATATCATAATAGTATAACATTATAAAACAAACACATTCTAACTTTTAGGAGCTATATAAAGTGATAGGTTATAGTAACAAAAATCAGCAGTTAATATACAAGCAGAACAACATACCATATTTTATGTCTGGAACTGTGATTGAGCTCTCAGCAATATTGGTTGACAAAATTATCTACAAGAGAAGATAAGTTAGTATAACTTTGAAAACAGGTGGAAATAAACAGTAAACAGAAAGTATTAAAAAGAATAAAAATGTTAACACATTGAACAACATAGTTTGTTAACCTTGTATCTCCGTGCTATCTAATTTAGCTTACAACACAGTAAAACACACACACAGTATTAACATATTGAACAACAAAGTTTATTTATTCTTTCTATATGAGGTTAGGTGATGTGACCAACCTTTTAATCAAATATGGTATGTGTTCTTTTGTAAAACTTGGCAAGCTTTCAATAAACATTACAGGTATTTTGTACATAAAAAATCAGATTTTTTAACTACATATTTTTACTGACGATTTGCTTGTGAACATAGTCACAGTATTGTTGGCTCTCAGTACAAAGTGATTTAAAATTTGCTTGTGAACATAGAGTCACAGTATTGTTGGCTCTCAGTACAAAGTGATTTAAGATTTGCTTGTGAACATAGTCACAGTATTGTCGGCTCTCAGTACAAAGTGATTTAAGATTTGCTTGTGAACATAGTGTCACAGTATTGTCAGCTCTCAGTACAAAATGATTTTCATGTTAAGAGTAAAAATACTTTTCTTCATTTGACCGACCTCATAATAAAATACAAAATAAATCTAAACTAGCTTTTATTCCTAGAAGAACTGCAAATTGTAACAGGAAACAGGATTTGTTTATCCTAAATAGCACATTTGTTTATAGTTAATTTTATTGTTTTACTGCCACATTAGTTGTAAATACCTTAGCAAGCATGTAGCTCACATTACCATATTAAATGACGTACTCATGAGCATAACCTGTGAACAATTTTTATCATTATTTTTCCCCCATTATCTCACTTCACTATCTAACCTAACAAATTTATAATTTTTACATTTTAGTAACTTTTATGAAAATAAGTAAAACATCTACATGAAAAACAAGATATATAGTATCTTTGACCTCCTGTTTTTTGTTATTGATTGCCAATGAAATTTAAGCCTAATTTTTTTATATTGATTGTACTAGTACACTATAAAATATTTTTACATAAATAATGCACCTACAAACACAGAATAATAACATGCACACAACAATATCCTGTAACTATCATAATTTATCTGTAAGATTCTTAAAATAATAACATGAGCAAAACAATGTCCTGTAACTATCATAATTTATCTGTGACATAAGATTCTGAAAATAATAACATGAACAAAACAATGTCCTATAACTATCATAATTTATCTATAAGATCTTTGAAATAATAACATGCATAAAACAATGTCCTATAACTATCATAATTTATCTGTGATATAAGATTCTTAAAATAATAACATGAAGAAAACAATATCCTGTAACTATCATAATTTATCTGTGACATAAGATTCTGAAAATAATAACATGAACAAAACAATGTTCTATAACTATCATAATTTATCTATAAGATCTTTAAATTAATAACATGAACAAAACAATGTCCTATAACTATCATAATTTATCTATAAGATCCTTATATTTAATAACATGGACAAAACAATGTCCTGTAACTATCATAATTTATCTACAAGATTATTAATATAATAACATGCCCAAAACAATGTCCTATAACTATCATAATTTATCTATAACATTCTTAATATAATAACATGCCCAAAACAATGTCCTATAACTATCATAATTTATCTATAACATTCTTAATATAATAACATAAGCAAAACAATGTCCTATAACTATCATAATTTATCTATAAGATCCTTAAAATAATAACATGAACAAAACAATGTCCTATAACTATCATAATTTATCTATAATATTCTTAAAATAGTAACATAAGCAAAACAATGTCATAAAACTATCATAATTTATCTGTAAGAGCCTTAAAATAATAACATGAAAAAACAATGTCCTGTCATTATCATAATTTATCTGTAAGATTCTTAAATTAATAACATGAACAAAACAATGTCCTATAACTATCATGACTTATCTATAAGATCCTTAAAATAATAACATGAGCAAAACAATGTTCTGTAACTATCATAATTTATCTATAAGATTCTTAATATAATAACATGCACAAAACAATGTCTTATAACTATCATAATTTATCTATAAGATCCTTAAAATAATAACTTGAACAAAACAATGTCATATAACTATCATAATTTATCTGTAAGATCCTTAAAATAGTAACATGAAAAAACAATGTCCTGTAACTACCATAATTTATCTATAAGATCCTTAAAATAATAACATGAGGAAAACAATGTCTTGTAACTATCATAATTTATCTATAAGATCCTTAAAATAATAACACAGACAAAACAATGTCCTGTAACTATCATAATTTATCTATAACATCCTTAAAATAATAACATGAACAAAACAATATCCTATAACTATCTTTAATTGATCTGTAAGATCTTTAAACTAATAACATGCACACAACAATGTCCTGTAATTATCATACTTTATCTATGACATAAGATCCTTAAAATTCATTAAACTTCTTGAACTGAGCACCATGAGAGAAACTGAAGAAAACACAAACAACATTCTGTACTGAAAACACATCATTTAACAGATTATAACTGTCTTTCTATTAGTTATAAATGACTTAGCAGAAAAAGACAAAAATGAATTCCTGACAACTTGTGTGAGAGATAATTTGACAAGTGGGTCTGATTTTCTAGTAAACAAAGAAGACTGAAAATTATAAAAATTAGACTTTGCTTTAGTAATATTTATACTATAATGAGCAATTTACATTAAACTCCATGCTTCATATCGGTAGTAAATAAATTAGAGAATGGATAATATCTAGAGAACAAAGTTACGATTCTCAAACAAAGAAAGACTGAAGATTTATTTAAATATTTCCTTTTAAGCAATTAAAATTCATATAATATTAAGATTTGATTTATTAGCTACATTTTGATGCCAACTTTATAGATAAGCATTGACAATAAAGTAGTTTGATTAAATTTTGAATATAAATCTGTAAAATATCATGTCATGCACACTCTGACTTATCTGTAGCAAGAGGAATAATATTTTATCAGTGCACAAGCACCATCTAAGTTAGTTAACAAACTATTCATTTTATTTAAAGTTCTTGATCAGTCACATCATCAAGCTTTTCTTAGTTTGAAAATGATGCATTAAATAACTTTAGAAATAACTCTAGAACAACAGATTTGTGAAAATAAAACATAACTGAAAGTTACAGAAAAAGTTTGTGAAATATTTATAAGTTTCACACAGATATTCTAATGATTTATAGATTTAATAAAATAATAATTATAAAATAAAATCACATAATTGCACCCCTTTATTACAAACCAATATTATATAAATAATACATTGATGAGATGGAAAAAAACAATGGACATTCAAGTAAAGAAAATAAACAATTTCTTTACCACATCTGTTTACAGTAAGAAAACATTTAATAACTTATACGCTCATTTCAACAGTTTCATACCTGACTCCTTCAAATATAACCTTGTTCTAAATCTTGTAAACAGAGCATATAATAACTGTTCTGACTACTTCTGTCTTTACTCAGAAATTTATAACATATTACAAAGTAATGGTTATCCCCTTAATTCCTTACACTCTATCACACAAACATTTTTAACAAATAAAATAGAACCTACCAAAAAGTCACACTCTGTCTCAAAATATCAAACTAGAGTTTTAAACTCAAACATCAAATTAAAAAAAATAGTCAAACATATTACCCAAAAATTAAGCTACATTAGTATTTATGTATAAAATCAAAGTCATTCTACCCATTCCTAAGCACTCATGGGTCGTATATAAATACATTTATTGTAGGTGTAAAACTATAAGTCACCTACAAATACATACACACTGAGACATGGGAATTTCAGCTGAAGCAGATACAAGCTAACTAATCCACCCGTGTCTGGTATCCAATTGCACAGTGTGAATAACAACCATCTCATACTTCTAGAAAACTTTCAACTTCTTGACTCCAAAACCACAGCTTACAAACTCTTTATTAAAGTAAGCCTCTCCATTTTCATGATCACCCAACACTAAATAATAACATCAACTCTTCCCTGATATCATTAATGTAATCAGTTCCAGATTCTTAGTGTTTATATTTAAAGCCTTTCTTTGTAATGTTTTCTCTTAAGGATGTTATTTATTAAAAATGTATGCCACACGTTTTATTATATATTCCATTATACTGTTATCTTGTAAATCTGAATTGAATATGAATAGTTTCTATGATAATTTCTACTTTAAACATATTTAAGAGCACACACCTTTCGGTAGCCTTTCAGGGGATGTCGAAATACTTGTGTTTGTTCGTCCACAGTTATTGAGGAATGCAGAGGAAGAATCCACCACCTAGTTAAAATGTTGATAAAAATTATGTTGTAAAATAGAAAGTTTGAAAATATGAACTTTGGGGGAGATTTAAGGTATTATTCTAGTTATAAGAACACCACTCTTTCAATATATAATGAGGAAACATTAAAAATTTCAAAAATGGTTAAAAATCTACTCCACTTTATTAAACCACAATTCACAAGCAAAGATTCCAATGTAAGAAACAATGACAGTTTATATTTGGCATGTTTCTAAAACTATGGTCTTTATATACACAAGAAATAATCTAAAAATATTCCTGCAGAAAGAACAGCTAAACTTTTGGATCAGTTTTTCAACATAGTAAAAATTAAAAATATAATCGTTTTGAATTCAAAAATTAGTTCTTACATGATGAATAGATACTTCTGTTACTAGATTTGTTATCATAATAAATATAAGCTCTTACTTTCTAGCATGCATTTCTTCCTTCAGTTTTTCTTCCATCTCACTGATTTCAAAGTAGCCTTAATAAAGAGATGATTAATTTGAAATATACATAACAGGAAATTTTAACTTCAAATCGTGTTTTGTAAGCTTTTATTTCATCACCATAAAACTTGATTAAAACTCCATGTATCTAATTTCACTCACTATAAAGCTTGGTTTTCAATCAAAATCTGTCTTTCACTGAGAAAAGAAGGTTAATAGTACACTTAAAGAACAAGCTGCATCATATCTAGTTCATGAAGAATTTATATCATTTAATATTGCAAACTTACAGATTGAGGGAAGTATAACAACACTTCCAAGGAACAGTGCTCGTATAGCAAAACTTTTAAAGAACTGCAAAAGGACAAAACATTATCAAGGAGGAAAACTTCTATATTCTCTACAGAAGCAAAAAAAAAGAAAAAAAAGTAGAGCTTTTGGCACAGCAGCAAAATTTCACCACTATCTGACAGGAATCAACCACTCTTGGTAGGGATGTCTAATTCACACCGGTACCCGGTAAGAATGTCTAGCCCACACTGGTACACAGTATGAATGTCTAGCCCACACCGGTACCCGGTAAGAATGTCTAGCCCACACTGGTACACAGTATGAATGTCTAGCCCACACCGGTACACAGTAAGAATGTCTAATTCACACCACTACCCAGTAAGAATGTCTAATTCACACCATTACCCTGTAAGAATGTCTAATTCACACCACTACCCAGTAAGAATGTCTAATTCACACCATTACTCTGTAAGAATGTCTAATTCACACCATTACCCGGTAAGAATATCTAGCTCACATCAGTACCCAGTAAGAATGTCTAATCCCCACCCTTACCCGGAAAGAATGTCTAATTCATACCTAACCCAGAAAGAATGTCTAACCCCAACCCTTACCCAGTGAGAATGTCTAATCCACTCTGTTACTCAATAAGAATGTCTAACACACATTGTCACCTGGTAACAGTGTCTAATCCACACAATACCTGGTAAGAATGTCCAATCCACACTGCTACCCAGTATGAATGTCCAATCCATACTGCTACCCAGTATGAATGTCTACACCAGACCATTACTTGATTACCTGACACAATTAACTGAAAGAAAACTGTGTCTACTCCTGATAGGAATATTTAACAAACTCAGCAGCCTAATAGGAATATTTAACAAACTCAGTAATATGACAGAAATATTTAGCCAACACAGTAGCATGATAAGAATATTTAGCCAACACAGTAGCATGATAAGAATATTTAGCCAACACAGTAGCCTGATAAGAATATTTAGCCAACACAGTAGCCTGATAAGAATATTTAGCCAACACAGTAGCCTGATAAGAATATTTAAACAACACAGTAG